AGGTTGGGGTCAGTGATCCCATTTGTCAGAGGAAATGGAGGCACAGAGTGGTCAGTTCACTTCTCCACCGTCCCCCAGCTAACAAGGGGCTGACCCAGAGCTCCACCAGAGCTGGCTGTCCCCTGCCCACCTTAGACTTGGGGCCGCTCTCCAGCCCTCTGCTCACCTCCTCCCGGGGCGCTGCTTGGCTTCCGGGTCCCCTGGCGAGGGGACAGATTTCCTCTTCCTGGCTGGCTCCTGCTCCGGCCCCTCTGCTGCCCCACACCGTAACTGTCTGTCCCCACCAAGTGGCCGTCTTGCCCAGGTGCTCAGCCTGGCTGCCTCCTGCCCTGTCCGTCCCCGGGTCTCTGTCTGTCCCCGGGTCTCTGTCTGTCCCCGGGTCTCTCTCTGTCCCCTCTGTGGGGCAGGACGTCACACCCACACTGCCTGGGACACCAGCAGCTGTCCCCTTCGCGTCTCAGCCTCTGGGAAGTGTGGCTGCCTTCCTAGAAGTTTCCTTGCCTCACCCTCAAACACAGGCGCCTTTGTTCCCTGCAGCGGAACATCCTGTTCCAGAGTGGCCCGCGGATCCTTCCAGAAAGAAACCCCTTCTGTCGCTCGAGGGTGGAGATTTAAAGCAGGTCGCGGCCACGAGAGCGGTGGCCTGGTGTCATTCATAATGGGCGCTGCAGGCCTGAGGCCACAGAGCCAGGAGGTGGGAGGGACAGGATTCGGGCTCCCAGGCTGCTCTCTGGACCCCTGTGTCCTTGCTGATCCCATCCTCATGGTGGGTCCCATGTACAGATGGGAAGGTTGCTCACTGCACAACTAAATGGGGGAGGGGGTGCCATTTCCATGGTGGTCCCTGAGATGACTTTGTGATGGCTTTTTTTTGGAGGGGGGTGGGGGAGTACCAGAAATCGTACTGGGAGTTCAGGGTCTCGCTGAGTTGCTTAGGGTCTTGCTTTTGCTGAGACTGGCCTCCAACTCACGATCCTCCTGCCTCAGCCTCCTCAGCCGTGGGGAGGGCTTTTTGTGTATCTCCCCGGCTGCCCCTCACTCCTCAGGATGGGTGTGCCGTGCACCCTGCCCCGGGTGGGGAGACAGAGGCCTGGGGTTGTGCCAGCTCAGGACCCCGCAGGGTGCGTGCTGGGGGGATGACAGCCGGGTTAGGGCAGGGGACCCACCGTCCAGGGTGCTGTGTGACTCTGGTGCAGGGTCCTGCCCGGCCGAGGACTGACCTTGGCCGGGGGCCGAAGTTCCTGGGAGGGGCTCCGAGCTCTGGCTCCTGGCATCTGCTCAGAAGCTGTGCCCCTCCCCCTGGGGACAGGTGGCCCTGGCCCGGGGACACGGGTCCCCCATGACATATGCCACCCAGCCTGCAGTCATTGCCCTCCATGTAAATGCACTGACTGAGCCTCGCCCTGCAGCAGGCCGGGCTGGGGCTCAGGGACAGAGCTGCGCCCCTGGGTTCAGTCCCTGGCCCCAAAGAGGAAAAGGCTGAGACTAGTTTGAAGTCACAGCGGTGGCAAGAGTGAGGAAAGGCAGGCAGGTAGTGTCCCCGAGCCCAGAATGGCCATCCTGGAGGCTCTCCTGGTGAGTGGCAGGGACCTGGGCTGAACTCTGAGGGATAGTACAAGAGGGCAGCGGGAGAGCGGGCAAGAGCCTTCTAAATAGAGGAAAGTAGGTGCAAATGTCCTGTGGTGAGAGGGACCACGGACAGATCGATAGAGACGGAGCGAAGGAGGCAAGAACACGTGGATGGGGTCGTGAGATGTGACAGGTCCGTCTGCCACCAGGATCAGGTAGGGAGAGCCTCAGAGCCCTGAAGTCAGTGACAGGAAGTCATGGCTCTTTATCCCAACTTTGGTCCTTGCGTGGGAAGTACTTGCTCCCAGGACCTCAGAGGTCAAGACAGAGATGTCATGAGAGCCACCTGAACTCTTATGTTGTAGCAGCGGGGACGAGGATTGAGCTCAGGGGCGCTTGGCCCACGTCCCCAGCTCTATCTTATATTTTGTTTAGAGACAGGGTGTCACTGGAGTTGCTTGGCGCCTCACTTTGGCTGAGGCTGGCCTCCAACTTGTGGTCCTCCTGCCTCAGCCTCCCGAGCCTGGGATGACGTCTGGGTGTGCCACGGTGCTGGCCGTCCTGAACTCTTAAGAACACCTGGCAGGGGTGCATTGTTGTTTGGGGTCTCAGAGGTCCCCACTTACAGGCCACCATGGTCCAGGAGTAGGGTGACTCGTACCCAAGGACACCTCTTGGGTCTGTCCTGGAAGTAAGATGGAAGAGCTGGGGACGCCTTTGTAGTCCTGGGGACCCTGTATCCTCCCCTGGACCTCCGTTTCCCCTCTGGACAGGCTTCCTTGGACCCTCACCAATGGCCCTGTGACCTTGTGGTCCAGGGCACCATGAGCACACGCCCCCTTCCTGAAGGAGGCCGTGGGGAGGGGTTGCCCTGCTGTCTGGGTGTGCCTTAGCCTGAGGTCGCTTCCTGTGGGGAGTATTCAGCAGCTGCTCTGGAGGCCCTGAGGCAGGAGGCTGGACCTTGCTGCCCCAGCTCTTGCGATTTGCAGGCGTTTCCATCTTGGAGAGGCTGCAGAGGCCTGGGGCCCAGGAGGGTCCAGGCGCAGGAGATCGGGTCGCATGACTGTCGGGGTACAGGACGGTTTGCGCCCCAGGGATGGCCGGGGTGCAGGAAGGTCCAGGCGCAGGGGACCTGGGGCACAGGAGGGTCCAGGCGCAGGAGATCGGGACGTATGACTGTCGGGGTACAAGACGGTGGGACCCCCAGGGATGGCCGGGGTGCAGGAAGGTCCAGGCGCAGGGGACCTGGGGCACAGGAGGGTCTAGGCGCAGGAGGTCGGGTCGCATTATGGTCGGGGCACAGGGGACCTGGGATGCAGGAGGGTCAGGGCGCAGTGGTGGCAAGAGTGAGGAACCACCTGAACTCTTATGTTGTGGCAGGGGAGACCTGGGGCGCAGGGGGCCTGGGGCGCAGGAGGGTTGGAGCGCAGGACGGTGGAGGCACAGAAGGGTCAGGACGCAGGACGGTCAGGGCGCAGGAGGCCAGGGCGCAGGACGGTCAGGGCGTAAGAAGGTCCGGGCACAGGGGATCTGGGGCGCAGGAGACTCCGGGCACAGGAGGTTCCAGGCGCAGGAAGTCGGGACGCATTATGGTCGGGGCGCAGAAGGGTCAGGGCGCAGGAGGCCGGAGCACAGGGCACCTGGGATGCAGGAGAGTCAGGGCACAGTGGTGGCAAGAGTAAAGAGCCACCTGAACACTTATGTTGTGGCAAGGGGATGTTGTGGCAGGGGGGACCTGGGGCGCAGGAGGCCAGGGCGCAGGAGGGTCTGTTCTGGACCGGCCTCTGCCTCCTAGCAGGAGTCACTTGCTCTTTTAAGAACCAGCAAAGCCTTGCTGACCCTGCCCTGGTCCTGGGGAGGCTGCTGGCTCCGGAACCAGGCGGCCAGGCAGGTGCCACGCGTCCCCTGCGCGCTCCTGGCTGACCGCGCTGCCGTGTCCCGCAGGTTCTCACGCTCCGACGAGCTGTCGCGACACAGGCGGTCCCACTCGGGCGTGAAGCCTTACCAGTGCCCCGTGTGCGA